CCCAATTTCCACGAGTGTTGATATCACTGTATATCAATACGGAAAAAAGTTTTATATTTGTTTTATAATATAGCACAAAGAAACATAAAGAAAGAAATTTTCCGACATTTCCGTGTTGACATTGAGTTATATCAACACGGCTATTAGCCAATCAGCGTTCAGAATTTACAAATGCTATATTATAAAAGTGTATAGTGGTTCACTTAATAAAAAGGACTATTACACAGGGGGTTAGGTTAAAATGCGGAAGCGGATGCGGAACGGAACGGATGCGAAATGGAACGGATGGGGTTAAAATGCGGAACGGAACGGATGGGGTTAAAATGCGGAACAGAACGGATGGGGTTCAAATGCGGAATGGAACGGAACGGAACGGATATGGGGTTAAAATGCGGAACGGAACGGATATGGGGTTAAAATGCGGAACGGAACGGATCTGGGGTTAAAATGCGGACCGAAACGAATATGAGGTTAAAACTTAATTTAAACCCCATATCCGTTCCGTTCCGCATTTTAACCCCATATCCGTTCTGTTCCGTTCCGCATTTTAACCTCATCCGTTCCGTTCCGCATCCGCTTCCGCATTTTAACCTAACCCATTACACAGGTACCCAATTCACCAAAGGTTCCAAGGGTTCTCTTTTGATGAGGGAGGAAAACCACTGAAAACCAGAGGACTACACCCTCGAACCACACGAGAAAACCAATCAAACTCCACTTACGTGTTAAGCCAGTTTTCCACTACAACCGTAGCGAAACGTACTGGTGAGCATGCGCAGATTGAAAAGAGGTTAATAAATCCACGTACTTCCGGGCGTATTCGCGTACCAAAATAAAAAGTTCGTCGCAAGTCAACTTTTTGGCGTAGTACGGAAGTATTAACCAATCAACATTCACGGAATTTTGAAATTTAAAAATGTTTTTGATACGCTTCGATACGCTTGAAGTGGAAAACTGGCTTTATCACCACGGTTAACTCAGGGCTTGAATTGTGTCACTCCTACTTGCCTTTTGTTCTCTTTTTTGGGGATGATCATGCAACAGCTGCTTAAGATTATTTTTTATTATTATTTAAACTTATTTACATGCACGGTGATCTTTCAGTTCCCTGGTTTTCAAAGAGCCGTGCAACAACTAAAATACAATACATAATCAAATTACCTAATAAATACTATTTACATTAATTTACAATAATAAATTCACAAATTTATTAATCCTTCTGATTAATAAGTCTTTTAAATGAATCAACTGATAAATCGCCGCATTTATCGACGATTTCAAGTGGTAGGCTATTCCAGGACATTGCTCCTCGATATGAAAAACTACGTTTTAAGAAATTTGGTTTTGGTTTATCAAGGTAAAGCTTTCGATTATTGCTCCTCAGACTGTATGTGGTATTGTTGTTAGTGGTGAATAGTTCAGTCAAATATGTTGGTACAATGCCTCTTAGTGCCTTAAATGTCATTATTTGTTCCCTTTT